CCCCTCACTGGGGGATTCTAGGCAGGGGCTCTACCACTGAGCCACACCCCCAGCCCCTCACTGGGGGATTCTAGGCAGGGGCTCTACCACTGAGCTAGATCCCCATTTCCAGTTCAGAAATTTCTCTCAGTAGACACTTAAGCTTTCAGGTCCATCTTTGTAGAGCTTCCCCATCTCAGAGTCCTTACTGGGTGGGGTGATACTGTCTGCAGCTCCAGCCACAGAGAGGCAGGAGGAACCATTAGTAAGGTTCCTGGACAGTCTGGGCTACACAGTGAGACCAAATACAACATCAGGTTTCAGAATGGAGCCCTCTTTGAGATCAGAAGGGCCTTTCGGAATACGTAGTTTAAATCCTCCTGCTTGTGGGGATCTCAGGAGTCAGGGAGTCTCCGGCCCAAGGAGTGGAGAGAACTCAAGGTCACGCATGCTCAGATGAGCCACCAGCCCCAACAGGTTCTGTTCCTCGTGGCTTCCCAGGCAGAGGCCGGTGTCAACATGTCCCAGCTGGCCCCACGGCCTACACCTTTACCGCCAAAGCTGAAAGGTGACAGGGCTGGCGGGCGTGGCGGCTGTCATGGGGATAAAGATGGCTGGTGTAACCGGTTCCCAGCGGCCTAGCTTCCTCCTGCTGGCTGGTGACCACAGCTGCCTCTCTGGCCCTGGCCAGCCCCCTGTTCCTCTCTTAACAATAGACCAGTGTGAACAGGGCCTCTTGTAGACAGTGGCAGTGATGTCCCCGCCCCTGACTGTCCTGGATCTCACTCTGTAGACCAGGCTGGCCTCCAACTCAGAGAGATCCACCTGCCTCTGCCTCCCGAGTGCTGGAATTAGAGGCACGCGCTACCACTGCCTGGCTGATTTATTTCATTTTTAAGTATGTTGGTATGTGCACATGAGTGGAGGTGCCCTCTGAGGCTGGAGAGGTTGTTGGATTCCTTGGCGCTGGAGTTCCAGGCAGCTGTGGGCCGCTCCATATGAGTGCTGGGAACTGAACCCAGGATCCTTGAAACAGTAGGAAGTGCCCAGAGCTGCTGAACAGTCCTACCCCAGGTTTCTTTCTTTTCTTACCTTTTATTCCTTCTTTTTGCTTTTTGAGACAGGGTCTTGTACTTTCTAGGCTAACCTCCAACTTGCCGAGTAGCCAAGGCTGAGTCTTAACTCATGATCCCTGCACCTCCCAAGTGCTGGGATGAAGGGGTGCACAGACGTGGCCTTGGCGCCAAGCTGTCTGAGTTGTATTTTCTTGCTTCTTAGCAAGAAGGCTTTTTGTGTGTATGCTGCTGTGTATGGAGTATGTATGTGTGCTCCTGTGGGTGGGGTGTGTGTGTCTCTCTGTGTGTGATGTGGTAGTGTGTAGTGTTTCTGTGTGTGAAATATGTTGCTATGTATCTGTGTTGGTGTGTCCTTGCACATGGAAGCCCGGTGTGTTGCATTGTTTCTGTGTTTCTTATTTAATAAGACGTTGGTTACATCTATAGCCCGGGGTCAATATCACATACCCTCCGCCTTATGTGTGGTTGTTTTTCTAGATTTATTTCTTTTGTTTTATGTGTATGAGTTTTGCATGCATGCATGCATGTCTGTGCACCATGTGTGTGCCTGATGCCCATGGAGGCCAGAAGAAGGTGTTGGATCCTCTGGAACTGGAGTTACAGATGGTTGTGAGCTGCCATGTGGGTGCTGGGAATCCAACCTCTTGACCTCTGACCCATCTCTCCATCCCCCACCTTAGTTTTTGAGACAGGGTCTCTTTCTGAATAGATTTGGCAAGAGTAGCTAAGCAGCCACTGCCTGTCTCTGCTTCCTGTAGCTGGCACTCCCAGCATGCACCTGCTCTCTCAGAGTTTTACCAGGGTGCTAAGGGCTGACCTCAGTTCTTCATACTTATATAGAAAGGCCTGCACCAACTGAGCCAGCTCGCCCAAAGCCTTTAACCCAGGTTAGCTTCTCACTTGTGTGGCCTTCCTACGAGCGTGCGCTACCACAATTGGTTGAGGGTTTTGTTTTGTTTTGTTTTGTTTTGTTTTGTTTTGTTTTTTAAGGCAGGGCTCACTCTGTAGCCCAGGCTAGACTGAATGCATTCTGTAGCCCAGGCTGGTCTGGAGCTAGAAATCCTTTACAACTGCCTCCTGAGAGCTAACATTACAGGCGAATGACACACGCCTGCCTCATGACTATTGTTTAGAGGTGGAGCAGGAACTATGGATGTGGCTCAGTTGGTCACGTGCATACGTAATGTGCATGAAGCCCTGGGTCCATTCCCAGTACCACACAATCCACTTGGTGCTCCAGGCCTATAATCTCAGCACTCAAGGTGTAGAGGCAGGAGGATCAGAAGTTTGAGATCAACCTAAATTAAATACAAGCTTTAGACCAGCCTGGGCTACATGAGATCCTGTTCCAAACAACAACAGCAAAAACAGGTCGGAGAGATGGCTCAGAAGTTAAGAGCACTTGTTGCTATTGCAGAGGACCCAGGTTAAGTTCCCAGCACCCATATGGTGGTTCACAACTATTTATGACTATATTGCTAGGGGATCTGATACCCACTTCTGATCACCGTGGACTCCAAGCATGCAGACATGTAGACACTCCTACACAAAAAATAAATAATCTAAAAATGAACAAAACAAAAACCAAACAACAACATACTTATTGTGCAGGTACAGGCCTGTAGTCCAAAAGTCCCGGAGGCCAAGGCAAGCCAAAGATTGTGAGTTTCAAGCCTATGTAGTTTTAGGCTACATAAAGTTTCCCAGGCCACCCTGCATACTTAAAAAGACCCTGTGTCAACATGAAAAGTAAAATGATGGCTGGGGGAGTAACTCAGTGGTAGAGCCCCTGCCTAGAATCCCCCAGTGAGGGGCTGGGG